TTTTTTCGTAAACCTCACCGTTTAAAAGATATTAAAGGTTGAAGTTTGATTATTTTAAGACAAATTTCTGTTTTGCTTATGAATTTTATAACTCGTTAACAAAAAATCATTATGAAATGCGCAATTCATAGTTTTGTAGGAAATTAACTGCTCTACAAAAATGGTCTCTTATGATTAGTCGATTAAATAAAGCGTTTAAAAGATATTCATCGTCAAACTTCAATGCACGCCAATTTTAACAGTTTTTGATTAATAATAATTCGAAAAATTTCAATTTAGTTTATGAGTTTTAGGGAAATTTATACAAATTTGAGTTTCTATGAACAGAGAAATGTTTAAACTATTTTTCTAGTTTTTTTTTAGTCGTAAGCATGTTTGGTTACATCGAAAAAAATTAGTGCATTATTTCTGACTGAGAGTCAATGATTCATTAAATCTTGAAAAAATAACGTTTTTGTTAGAAATTTATCATGAAAAGTATTAATCTTAAGAAAAAAAAATGTTCAATTTGTTATTAAAAAGTTTTTTTATTTAATTATCAAGCGAGTTATAAAATTTCAAACATTTTGGTTTTGTGCTGATTTTTTTTTTAACTTTTTTGTAATTTTAACCATTGAGTATGATAGCGAAGAATTTTTTTGACTGCATTAGGAGCTTCACTAGAAACAAATTTGTATAAATTTGTTGGTCTGTGTTATTTAGAAGATTAAATTCAAATAAAAACACAATCGGCGAACACAAATAAATACAACAGCAAGCACACACGAGAAGCACGGACGTTTCTGAATTGATAGATCGTGTGGGTCGGAAATCTAGGAAAACGGAAAGTAATTTTGATCAAATGGAAATAAATTTTAATATCTTTGGTAACATTTACGTGTGACGTCATCTTCAATCATTCTCGATCGCATTGGTTCTAAATAAATTAGCTATACCATTATAATAATTATACTTTACTTCGTCTGTATTGATAGATTGGATAATAATTATACATATACCTTTTTGAATCATAAACATGTAAATAGGTTTTTTGTAACCTGTGCACTAGACACAAAACTTAGGGTATTATTTAAAAAAAAAACGCCCAATTGTCAACTCAACCAATGTAACTATAAACAAAATAAAAAAATATCTATCGTGCTTATATCATTTTATTTATGTATCTATTTTGTAAGAAATATATATACAATATATTAATGTGACAGAAATAATACAGCTTGATTAAATTCATCTTGTCCACCAGTTGCAGATGACATTTGCTCATATATTTGAGTATACATATAATACAAAACCTTCATTGAGTAACTATATTTATCGTCACTCCTCCTCCATATTCTATTCTTGATCTTACGCATCTGGCGGACAAGATGAGTTTGGTCAATTTATATCTGTTTAACCTTTTTCGAACTTCAACCAAATACCTCCAATCGTCGAGGTAACCTTTTCATGCGGATTCATTTTTAAAGGCAGTTTGGTTTTCTCGCTTAGGGTAACTTTAAAGTCCTTCAAAGTGGATGTTAGTCCGACTTTTGTTTGTAGAATTCCAAATCTTTCACCTAAAAATCAATGACTAATTAAGTACCATGTTCAAATAGAGAGTACAGAAAAATATTGACTTAGAATTTAAGGAAAACAAAATTTGCGGACTTTGATGTGCTGTAGTTTAGCTTAATCAGTTATTTTGACAGGAATCTGGCAGTTTGTAAACCCAATGCAGTACACCCCTCGTAGTCATAGCACTTACCAATACATACTCTGGGACCTTCCCCAAACGGCAGATGGGCGTACGGATGCCTGGCCTTCTTGTTCTCCGCACTGAACCTGTCGGGGTCAAAAACTTTGGGATTCTCGTAGTGGTCTTCGTCGTAGTGTATACCTGTTGCAGGTATGAAGACGATGGTGCCTTTTTCTAAGATAAAATCTTGACCAGGTATTTTGTAGTCTTCGGCACTTTCTCTTGTCAAAAGTGGGATGGGAGCGTACATCCTGAGGGTCTCTGGAAAAGGCAAGGTCACGTTTACTGATTTTCTTAAAATTTTGGATAACTAGGAGATACTGCTATTTTGACATGCAGCTGTTGCTGTCTAATCTCTCACGTACACTCCAAGTAAGTTTACGTCTGAGACAGCAGCGGCCCCTTTTGGATGATTCGCCTTTTACTTACCGTCGATGACTTGTCTCATGTAAACTAACTCATTGATCGAATCGTAAGTGATTTTGTTGTCGTGTTTCGCGAGGACTGTGCGGATTTCTTCCCTTACTTTGTCCTGGATGTCGGGGTTCCTCGCCAATTCAAACAGGGCAAAGGTCATGGTAGTGGAGCTGGTCTCGAATCCAGCGACGAAAAAGACGAAGCTTTGCGCTATTATCTCTGGCATGGTCAGGGTGTTACTGTTTTCTGCAAGTTCAAACACGTTATTATTATTGTTTCAATTACGTACCTATACATTTTTGCATTTACTGCCACATTATTTTAAGTCGTGGCAAGGGAGCTGGTTCGAAGGGTCTCTACTGGAGGTCTAAAGTCACAAATTGTGCGGAGAAAAATTAGAATATGGAAAATTAGGAAGAATTGAACTTTCCTTGCAGTCCAGGATACAAAGATAGGCCAGGAAAAAGAGCTGAGAAATGTCCATTTCGCGCCTATAGATACTAAATATTATGTACAATAATAAATTAGTTTGCACAGTCATAAAAATGGGGGGAAGATTGTTTACAGGGTGATTAATTGTATAATTTTTACGTAAATTCACGTTTTTCTAATATTAATTAGATCAAATTTCGGAATTAAGTGGATTGGAAATAATGGGCTTCAGAGTCTCCAGACTTAACGCCCCTAGACTATTTTTTATGGGGAACGTTAAAAAATCAATTATATAAGACACCCACAAGAAGTTTGGAGTATTTAAAGCAAAAGATTCGACTTGTTTGTGAGATTCTTTTAAGAGAAACGTTATTTAAAGCTACAAAGGAAGTTGGCAAAAGATTGGATAAATGCTTAGAAGTAGGAGGCATGCATATCGGACATTTTTAAAAGTGATAATCATAATTTCATATTTTGTTTTGTGTTTTGTTATTAGTTATTATTATATTTATTAGTTACAATTGTTTAATATTTTCTATATTTGGTTATTTTATTTAACCGTCATTATGTGTATTGTTCTATTTTTCTTCGTGGAGTGACCTTTTTTAAGAAGAACATAGAAATTATATGTAAACAAATTTGTGACAGGAGTTACAGCGATTGTTTTTCACAGTAATGTTGATGAAGTCATGACTAGTTCCAATACAATAGAATTCATATTTGTGTAATGTTTGTTATTTTAACTTTTTAAGTAGAAGAGATAGGGAAAAAATTTCTGCATAAAAAATGTTGATAAAAAAATAGATAATTTTAGTTATCATAGAAAATGGGTATGTTGATGTATAACGTCATCATAACATATTATAAAACAAAGTCCTCCGCTGCGTCTGTCTGTCTGTTCGCGATAAACTCAAAAACTACTGCACCGATTTTCATGCTGTTTTTACAAATGGATAGAGTGGATTCCGAGGAAGGTTTTAGTGTATCATTTGTTAAGTTTTTGTATACATTAACGATGTTTGTTGGAGGTGTCGGAAAAAAAATAAGCCGTCTGGGAGCTTTCAAGAAAACGCTGCCTAAACCCTTTGAGATATAACAAAATAATGTATGGTGGAATTGTGTATCTTATATATGCCTACAGAAAAGTCTGCAATGGCATATGTCTATATGTTAAAGAGTAATATGTTAATACTACCTATATTCAATTTAATACTTTAAGAAATTGGCAATTATAAAGCGGTAATGTAAAAGCTATTTACACAAATACGGTATTAATCCTTATCATTTCAAATAAGTTAGAGGCTTGAAGCATTTCATGCACATTATTTTACTCTTTTACACCATATAATTTAAATGAATATCTTAGGAGTAATCGCAAAAAAATTACGGACGCGAGAATAAAATTCAAGCGCCTCGCTTCGCTTGATGCGATCGCCAACCCTCCCCCCGCACCGTCTTGCCTGCTGTTTAGCTAATAAGCCGAACGATAACGCGCGCGTAATCCTTTAATAAACTGACTTGGAGCGAATGGAGGTGACGACTGACGACTGTGTTTTCTTTCTGGGTGTTGTTGGAAAGTTATAATTGCGTTCGATATTTTAAGGTCACATTTTTGTTTTGTATTTGTTGTCTTTAGGTAGTCGGAACATACATAGATACTTGCAAACATACTTTTATTTCATTGAGTTTTAATAATTTGTTTGTTTTTTTCTTATTGTGAATCATTTAAAACTTCATAGTCGCATTTTTGTTTCGTGTTTGTTTTCTTTAGGTAGTTAGATACCTAACTACTTACTTATTAATTAAAATTGATAGTCCTGAACATAGGTACTTTAATTTAATTCGTTTTGTTTTCACATTGTTGGTAGTTACCTATATTGTTTTAAATTTAAAGGTTTTGCATTTTTAGTTTTGAGTTCGTTTGTTGTCTTTAGGTATATAGATATATCGTGAATTATTTTAAAATTAATATTAGGGTCGCATTAGATGAAAGATGATTGATTTTTTGTTTGTTACGATTTAACTCAAAAACTACTCAACCAATTTTACCGAAAGCTACATCTC